AACGAACATCTTCTTCACATCTAACATGTTTACATTTTTAATATAATTTTTTTAATTTGTTTTATCCAAATAAAAATTATGTGTGAAAGTTTTCTTATTAAACAATTTGAAAAACAAAATACTAATAATTTAAAATTTCACAGTTCTTGCTTCCTTCTTTAGTTTTCTTATTTTATAACATGTATACTATAAATTGTTTTCAGGAGAGACAATTGAAGAAAGAGTTAAAGGTTGTTGCGCATGGCAGCAAATTGATAGGGTGGATTCTGCACATGCTCCCACCTGTGGTACATACTTGGTTGACGAACTCTGGTATATCCTCTCTCCAGAGAACCAGTTTGTCGAGGATAGACCAGAATTTGGTATCGGCCTTCATAGAGAGGTGAAATATGGAAACATCGTCATTTCATATGCCATTTGGCGAGATGACCATTACTTTGGACGATGTTTTATGTCTTCTTCACATACCAATTAGGGGTGAGTTATTTGACCTTGAAGATGGCTTCACTGATAGTGATGCTATTAGACTAGCTATTGATCTAATGGGTGTTCCATTGGAAGAGGCAGTTGAGGGGATCCAATTTTGTATAGGTCCTTATTATAGACTGGATTGGTTGAAAACGATATTTGTGTGTCAGTGAACTGCTAGTAGATTTAACTATGATGCTAGATCCTATATAATCGTGTTGTTAGGTTGCACCACTCTTGCTGACAAGAGCTTTACTCTTGTAAAGGAAAAGTATTTACCACTTTTTAGGGACTTGGATGGATGTGGTAGATATTGTTGGGGAGCAATGACACTTGTCATACTTTACCAATATTTAGGTGATGCTTCCTTCTATACATGCAAGCAGCTTGGCGGATATGCCTCTCTTCAACAAGTACACAATGTTTTATTTTTATTTTTATTTGATTTATCTTTATTTATTTATAATGAATTTAATTGATAATATTCATGGTGTGTAACAATGTTGGATTCACGAGTATTTTCCCACTATTGGGAAGAGATGTGTGTTTGGGATTTGGGGTGTAGGTAGTCCGGTTATAAGGGCGATGAAATGGAGTTACAAGCAAGGAACCCAAAAGGTTAATGAGTACAAGCATCTCTTAGATGCACTGACATCCAATGATGTCATTTGGCGGCCTTTTGCGGATCACAGTCAAACATGTCCATTTGATGAGATATGTCTCTACAGGGGTGGTCTGAAATGGTATGGGACATTTATGCTATATTCACCTGACAGATGTTTGTGTCAGTTTGGATATAGATAGTACATACCACATCCACATCCACTCGGCCATATGATGTAGTCGATAAGTAACTGACTTGGTATTATACGGTGTCACATCCTCGTTTGGTAGCACCACCACAAGATTAGGTGAGAGAGATCCAAGTTCTTGTATGTGACGAAGGATCATCGGACCATAGGTTGTCATATATTTCACGTGAGCTTCATCGCTACTTACAACGTCATGAGGCAAATGAGGAGGACGATGAGTTCGTTGAGATTTTTTGGTCACTACGTATAGCTCACGGTGGACCACTACTTCAGGGAGGACCGATACCTTATGAGTCTGACGCATGATCACTTTTCATTTTTGCTATTTTGAGACTTATGTATTATTTTGAGACTTATGTTATTTTGAGACTTATGTTGAAAATATAACTTTTAGTCATTACAATCCAAAATTTAGCATGAAGTCATATGTCAATAGAATCCAAAAAAAAACACATTACAATTATAGTCTAATATATTGTGGCGATGTAGGTGTAAGGCGTTGCCAATGTTGTAACCGTTCGACAAATCCTACCATCTAAGAAGTCGCATCTTTTGTGCGAAATTTCTTCCAATCCAATGTGATAGGTGGCAATGGAAAGCCTTCATTCATGTTTATCTGTTTAGGAAATTAAGATTAAACGAAAAATACGCAAGTAACTTAACAACAAGGCATGAAACAAAAAATAAATAAGAAACGAATAATTACTTGTACCCAATGATTTTCGTCTACATATCCAATGCAGTAAATGGACACATTAGGTGAATATGAAGTTGTCATAGGAAAGAAAGTTAAAGAAGGATAATCCAAAGAGATGATAATGACATTATACCGATTAGCTATTACATAAGTCATATCTGATAATGTCATCCATTTCTCTTGTGGTTGTTGACCTAAAGATGATATCATCAAAGATTTTCTCACTACTGAAAGACGAGCTCCAAATAACTGCTCATACAAATTGCTTTTAGGACCTTTAAATTCATTATCTAATTCACGACGAATAATTGGCCATCCATCCGAGCCATAACCATGCAACGATGCAATGACTCTAAATCCATAATTTCCATCCTTCAAGACATCAACAATGTCATCAATAAATAATTTTATATACTCTGGAAATTGTACAATGAAATTACTAGATGGTTTATTCTTTGAGGTTTGTGATAATTATGAACATGCCCTCTTTGAAGATTTTTGGGAACTCGAGTGTTCTTGACCAACATACTTATGATATGAAGGGTCGCGATAAACATCATATCCCACATGTTTCTTCTCATTCTTCTTCACCCCTCCTTTGGTTTCTATTTTTTCAGGAGGTGGCAACATATTTGTTGTAGTGGGATAAGAATTTTCACACACCCTACTTTTTAATGCTCTTTTTCCTACAACATCTAGTGACTTGAACTTTTTCTAAATTTCTTCAATTACATTGGTGATGTCCACCTCGGATCCATCATTTGCATCTTCCTCTTGTTTGCCTTTCATACTTAGATTTCTCCAATGGATGTGAATAACCTCAATTGGTATCGGATCACCGCTCAATGTATATCTCTCTAACTCACAAGCATAAGGTCACCCATATACTTTTCTATGAGTACACCCGCACATTTGGGTGTTTGTACCCATAATGTCAACCCTCGGCCACTCTTCAGCAATATGCCTCATAGCAGTTGTGGATACCGACCCATGCAAATTCCCATAAAATGGACTAGTGTGTGCATGCTCAACTTCATAAAAACTCTTCTGAAATGAAGCTCTAATACTACTCAATTGTATATTGAGATTTCCATTCATTGCCTCCCAACATTTGCACATATCACCTAAATTGTTCTCCAACATCTGCTTCAGTTTCCAATGTGCAGACTCAACCCTTAAAATAAAATAAAAAACAAGTAAGTACACGTAATATTAATATAAACAAACTATGAATAAAATCAAGTAATATTAAGATAAAGATACCTATTAGTCGTGGTGTTTTCCAAATGCAACACTTGATTAATCCATGCTTCGACAAATCTATGCATATGTGGAGTCAACCATATATCTTTCACATAATCAATAAATACTTTAAAGTCAACATATGCATGCTCAAGCTGTTGCAATTGTTGATGATACTCTACCTCATCACTAGCCCTTATAAGTTCATACCACATTTCTCTATTGGCTCTCGCATGTCAGCCACAACATATTCCTTACACTTCGCTTTCATATTTTTGTTGATGTGAAATCGACAAAGCAAATTAATTGTCTTTAGAAATACCGTTTCAATTGCTTTCATCAAAGCAAGATCTCTATCAGTCAACATCACTTGTGGCTAAAACCCCTGCTTAGTAAACACCTTTTTCAACTTATCCAATACCCAACAACAAATTTATGTATGCTCTGATTCCATATAGGCAAATGCAACAGCAAATGTTAACTCAGTTGATGTCAAACCAACTATTTCAAACAAAGGTTGCCTATACTTGTTTGTATTGTATGTGTTATCCATAATCAACATAATAGAAAACATATTCAACAACTTCACTGATTCTGGATGAGCCCAGAAAATATCTCGCACAACTTTTGACTCATCTTTTTTCCTGCTCTAGTAAACACAATCTGAATCCTCTATCATCTTAAACAAATGTTGCATTTTCGTTCTAGAATCCCTTATGTCTTTATGTATCTTACTCTTATGTTTATATATTTACATGATCAGAGTGACATTCTCTGGATCTTGCTTGCAATGACAACAATATGTGTCTTGGTGGAACACGATGTTTTGTCAAATCAATATGCTCTTTATCATCTGCATTTAGTCGACCCACAATGCATGACCTTCAAATGTATCAGGTAACCCATGGTTGTGAAGTCCACATTTTACATCAATCTTCCATCTAGAACCATCTTTTGACGGTGTTGATCTAATTTTGAAAGGACAACCAGATCTCTTACTAGCATTTTGTGTTTCACTATCTCCTTCTTTGTATTTTCCACCTCTATCACAACCAAATATTACTTTATCACTTCTTCCTTTTTTGTTTGTTTTGGTATCTGAACGAGTTATTATAACTGTCACTTTATTCTTGATTTCAACCTCCCTAATCCACCTTATCGCCTCTTCTTTTGTAGCAAATCGTTGTGTTGATGAACATATTTCAGTGGTATCTACACATGTATAATTTTTAGCGTATATCAAAGGAGTATCACATGTTTAACAACATTAAAAAAATTTAAAAAATGAAGAAAAAAAGCACTGAAATACTAGTGTAATAGAAATTCGGTTGGTATAAATATCAAAACCGGAATATATTGATTAATGATTTTCGGTTGATGATTATTACAAACCGAAAAATGCACAACCAGGTTATCTGATTATTAACAAACGAACCGGATTTCAGTCACAATAGTTATCTGATTGATATGAAATGTAAATCGGAAGTTATATATCAAAGAGTTCTGATTTAGAAAATAAACATACCATAATTCTGCATCGCACATTATCCAATTTGCAGTAATGGATGCACACTTGTCAATTTCACATGTGTCATCTTGATCTTTCTCGCAATAGTTTAACTTCCATTCCATCAAGGTTTGTTGATTTTAAGAGACTTGTGTACCTTGATTTTAGTTTGAATCAACTCGCACTAAAAGATTACTTTCTATCATCAATCATAAATTCCATGTGCCGCCTAAATTTTTTGATTTTATCAATAAACAAGCTTTATATAGAATCAATGGAACCCTTTGAAATATCTAAATGTATTAGATATGATTTGGAGTACTTGGATTTAGGGTATAATCATATCAGTGGCCACCTGCCAACTTGGTTGGAGAAACTTGAAAATCTAAAATATCTTGTTTTTACTTCAAATTATCTCCATGGACCTATCCCTTTGTCAATAGGAAAGTTGTCAAAACTGCATGGGCTACATCTCTCCAATAATATATTTGAAGGGCTCATTCCTGAAAGTATAGGTCAACTTGTCAATTTAACCAACTTACATCTTTCTTCTAATAAGTTTTATGGTTCAATTCCTCAAAATCTATGGAAACTTACAAATCTACGTTCTCTTGATCTTTCAAACAATTCTTTTAATGGGGTCATTCGGGAAAGTCTTTGCCAACTTGTCACTTTATATGTCTTAGACATTTCTTCTAATAAATTAGATGGTTCTATTCCAGAAAGCCTAGGAAAACTTACAAATTTAGAGTATCTTGACCTTTCAAACAATAATTTTAATAGGTTTGTTCTTAAAAGTCTTTGTCAACTTGTTAACTTATTTCATTTAGATGTTTCTTCAAATATGCTGGATGGAACAATGTCTATGGAAAAAGGATGTCTTCTAAATTTGTGGCTTTTGAATCTTTCTCATAATCAAATAAGTGGTTCACTTCCAAAAAATATTAGTCTTATATCATTGTCTTTTTCAGAGGGCTTGTTTTTAGGAAATAACCACTTAAATGGTTCAATCCCCATCTCTTTGTGCCAAATTCCACTTAGCAGCCTTGACCTTTCAAAGAATAACTTGTCGGGTGAAATTCCAAATTATTGGGAGGATAGTCTAGAAATATTGTCTGAGATAAACTTGTCATCTAACAAACTAACCGGAGCATTCCCAAACTCATTTGGGAATCTTCTCGCACTGCTTTGGTTGCATTTGAACAATAATAATCTTCAAGGAGAGCTTCCAACATCTTTTAGAAATTTGAAACAATTGTTGATTTTGGATCTTGGTGAGAATCAGTTTTCTGGAAGTATACCATCATCATGGACAATAGACACATTTTCTCTAGTGCAAATTATTAGATTGCGGCAAAACATGTTGAATGGCAGCATTCCTACGCAGTTATGTCAACTCAAGTCCCTCAAAATTTTGGACCTTTCTAGAAACAAATTACATGGCTCGATACCTCGATGCATAGGCCACCTTCAAGGAATGATATTAACACCATTGGCTCCAGCAAGGTCTCCAATACCATTTGAAAGAGTTCCTTCTCAAGGATGGTCTAGTCAAGACGCCATGGAAGTGGTGAAAGGAGTGGAACTTAACTATACTAAAATCTTGAAGCTTGTAGTTCACATGGACTTGTCAGAAAATAATTTGGTTGGAGTCATTCCTGATGAAATCACTTTTCTCACAGGTCTTCATGGTTTGAGCTTGTCAAAAAATCAATTGATAGGAGAGATCCCTCAATTGATAGGAGACATGAAATCACTAGAATCCTTGGACATGTCTCATAACCAACTTTCAGGAAAAATTCCCAACACCATGTCTGCTTTAACTTCATTGAGTCATTTAAACTTGTCTCACAATAATCTCTCAGGACCAATTCCTAAAGATAATCAGTTCTCAACTTTTAATAACCCGTCTATTTATGCTTACAACCCATACCTTTGTGGATCTCCACTTCCAAACACGTGCCCTGGTGATCTTTCACATGGAGCTTCTGAAAGCAAAGGTAATGAGGATGAAGATGGGATAGAAAAAGTATGGTTCTACTTTGTGATAGCACTCGGCTTTGGGACTGGGTTATGGGGAGTTATTTTCACTTTGTGGTTCAAGAAGAATTGGAGACATGCTTACTTCAGATGGGTGGAAGATGTTGCTGATGAGATATATGTGGCAATTGTAATAAAAGTGGCCAAATTAAAGAAGATGAAGATGAAGAGAAACCATGACCATGAGTGATTCTATTTTTATTTTTCTTCTTCGCCTCTTTCTTTTTCATATTAGAATAAGGTTAATGCCACAGTTTGTATTTGCTTTCTCCTGAGTAAATTTTATCTTTAATTAACAACATAAATGCATTTTTGTTCACTTAGTTAGTCTTTTGTTATCTCAATCATTGTCACTTGAATTGTAGCATTGCAGGGCGATCATAACACTTTATTAATTCAAAGTATATAGAATATAAGTTCATCTCTTCATAGTCTGTTTTCCTGGATTAAAGAACCAGGTAAACAAGACAAATTGGAAGAACTCAATAGAATCAGATGACAGGCAAAAAAAAAATTATAAGCAGATAATCAGTCTCCAAATCATGAGCACACTTATGAATAAATCATGACCACACTTACCTTTAGGACTCAGATAAGCGGAATATTGAACTCGCTTCATCGGTATTAGGTGGCATTATAAGTTGTTTATAACTACCACCATTGTGAATAAAGCATAATTGGTTAGTTTTAGCATAGAATCCGAACAGTTCGAACTTTGTGATCCCTTATGCATATTGACAGAAGAAGTCCATCTTTTTTTCAAGTAAAAATTGGTATTCAGACTCATTACTATAGAGGACAAAGTTACAGATAGGTTGACACCTTAGACATACTAAGAATATATTCAAAATTGAAAAGAAAAATATTGAACATAGACCAAACTCATGCAATGAAGTAACTATTTAAATATGGAAGTAGAGGCATGCTTTAAAAAACTCGTTCTATTATAAAAAAAATTCTAATGTAAATGATTGTGCTTTAAAAATATATTTAAAAAAATACTCTCATTTGCGACGTGAATTTCACGTCACAACTTGAAAAATCACGATAGTTGTGACGTGAAAATCACGTCGCAACATACTTTTGTAGGATTAACAACGTTGCAAGAAAAAGAGGTGATGCAAAGATAAAGTTACTTTATTTGCCACGTGATTTTCACGTCATAAATTATCACAACTTTGTGACGTGAAAATCACGTCACTAATATTTTTCGTTTTTTATTTAAAAATTTAATAATTAAAATTTGTTTTTCTTTTATAATTAATTAAATTAATAATATTAATTAATAAATTCAATATATAATAAATTAAATTAATAAATTTGATATATAATAAATTCAATATATAATAAATTCAATATATAATAAATTCAATATATTAAATTTAATATAATAAAATTAATAAGCTAAAATTATAAATTTAAGAATTAATTAGTAGGTTTAATTAATTAGTATGGTACACAAATTTCAATTTGAAAGTAAAATAAAAAAAATTAAAGTTTACAGGTCATCTTGGTTGGTTTAATTGTCAATGTCAAAATTATCTTCGTTTCCGTCATCCTCCGGCTCTTGACCACGAAAGTTTTGATTTCCACCAAACCCTTGCATAAATTGTCTTATTTGTTGCTATATATCAGCTTGTCTCTTCGCCATAACCTCCATTTATCGTTGTTGCTCTTGCCTCATTGCCTCCATTTGGGCCTCTATTTGGGCTTTCATTATCGCCCCATGTTACGCTGACTCGCGTCTCGCCTCATTTAACGTCAATTGTCTTACCATTTCAAGTTGTTCTGGTGTCAAATTTGGTTGATGTGACCCCCTTTCCCCATCTCTAACTCTTTGAAATAGAGTTCTATCCCTACTTCTTAAGGTGCCCGCTAAATTTCCACCATAAAAAACCATTAGAGCCTTTTCTGCCAATAACTTGATCCCAAATATAAAAATTCACATTTGGATGAAGCGGCTCTCCCTCTCCCGGAGTATATTGAGGATTATGAATCAGAAAATTTGCGAGCAATGTCTGATAATCCTCTGATACATTCAATAAAAAATTAAGTTAAATATTTAATAAATTAAATTAAATTAAATTAAATTATATTATATTATATTACAAAAGTTGCCACGTGATTTTCACGCCACGGCTTCTCAATTGTCACATGATTTTCACGTCATAGTTTCTGAGTTGCCACGTGAAAATCACAACACAAAATTGTCATTAAATAAATAAAAAAATATAAACAACAACGTAAATTAAATAACTTACGAAAGCTTTTAGAGTGCGTTCGTCAACAAAATCCCTGGTTTTCTTTGTCCGAGTCTTTTTAACCAACTCAATTATTAATGGAGGTTTCCCCAAATTCTTGGTCTAAAAAATAAAATTAATATTAATTAATAAAATATATTATGAATCAAAATATAACTTAAAAAAGTGGTAATATTTATCATACGTCGAACATGCTCTGCGGTACTTATACTTTCAACTGCATTAACGCAATCCCCTTTTTCAGATGTCCTCATCTTCTTAAAATTTTCAGATTTAATCAAAAATTCGGGTGACTCCCAATATTTAAGAAGTTCCTCAAAAACCTCTTTCCCTAACCAATTGGGACGGATACCCTGAAGTTCCCAACGCTCTCTAACACGCCGCATTATGTCAGAAAGTCGTCTTGAGATTCTACCATAATAATTTTTTTATCATCTTCTCGTTCAATGGGTCTCACACACATTTTTCCTGCAATATTGTATGACATTAAAATAAATAGTTAGATAATTATAATGAAAAATTAATTTAAATAACAATAACTAAAAAATAAATTAATTATACCTTAAATTTGTTAAACCAGATTTCTTTATTTTTGACATCTTTGAAGGTCTTCTAAAATTGTTTATACATCTGCTGAATTATATAATTTACAACCTTGACAGCAGTCCGACTCGGCGAGAAACTAAACAACAATAATTTAAATTAGCAATATTAAATATAAATTTATATTAAAAATGAAAATGTATTCTTAAATAAAATTTTATAAATAAGAAACTTACGAGTTTCCTTCGGGTCAAATCCAAAATCTCTCGTCAATGACATGAATCTCACTCGGATCATCATTCCCTCGAAGATCATTTCCATCTAACACGTCATCATCCCCATCCACATGATCATCATCATCATCATCATCATCCGGTTGCGCATGATCATCCTCACGTACAGGTACATGTATGGGATGTGGGGTGCGAGATCCTCTGCTCTGTGTGGGATTTGGGGTGCTGGATCCTCCAGTCTGTTGGAAGGATAAGGGCATCTGTGTGGGATGTGGGGTGCTAGATCCTCTAGTCTGCTGGAAGGATGAGGGCATCTGTGTGGGATATGGAAAACTGGGTCCTCCAATATGCTGGAAGGATGAGGGTATTTGGGTCTGCGGGAAAATAAAACCAGGTGGCTTAACAAAAGATGGTAGCCCATACGGGCTAATAAAATAAGAACTCCCAAATGGGAATGACATATTCTCATAGGAGAGTAATGGCACAAAAGGCTGAGTATTGGCCATGAACATAGGATCGACCTGACTCTGCGAGGGAGGGCACGTGGCCGACTGAGGTGCCTCACATGTTACTAACCTCAGTCGTTGGGACTTTTTTTACCACTATCTTTACTCTTATCGATTCGAGGTGGCATTTTACTTATTTATATCGATTACACAGTTAATATATATATTCATCAACAAAAATACTAAATTTGAAAAATACATTCTCTTTAATACATATTCATTAACACATTCAATAGATGATTCATTATTCTCATCAATACATATTCATTAACACATTTAATAAATAGTTCATTATTCTAAATCTCCATGCTCGTCATCCATATCATTCTCATCATCTGATGTGATATTGTCCTCGGATCCAAACTCTTCATCATGCTCTCCGTCCACATTATTATCAACCAACAATATAGACGCATCAACTTGATGTCTATCAACCATTATATCAGACAAACTCGTAATTTGTCCATCTGCAATCACATCATTGATTTGCTGAACTTCATTAACTTGGTAAGAAACATCTTCCACTAGATCTCCACTTTCAATATGACCCAGGGGTTTTATTTTTATTACAACACACCATCCTCGTTTACATGGTACAAGTGAAGGATAAGGAACATAGTAAACTTGTCTAACAATATGTGACATTATGAAAAAGTCATACTCTTTGTACCTCCGATCCATTTGAATCTCAACAGTACCATATGACTTATCTATTTTTGTGCCTCTAGTTGGATCATACCATTCACAATAAAACAAGATAAATTTATTTTCCGAGTCCAAGTAATTGTATACCAACTCGTAGATATGTTTAACAAATCCATAGAAGTCATCTTCACCGCCATCTGTAACTCCTTTTACAAATACACCACTGTTTATGGTTTTTTTCCCTTCAGTTCATGTCTCAGTGTGAAATTTATATTCGTTCACGAAGTATGTGTGCCATTTATTTGCACTTTGAGTAGGGCCTTCAAACAAGTTTCTCAAATGGAGTATTTCTGGAGTCAATGCAACAATGTTAGACAATCTCTCCTTGAACCATGCTCGAAATTGAGCATGAATGACACCAGATGTTGATTGTACACCAACACTATGAAAATAGGCGATGTTAAATTCCCTAAAAAGAAACACACTATAAGTTTCAAGATAATAAGTTTTATATTAACACTGCAAAGAAAATTAAACAGTTGGGATATACTTATTCAAGATATAGTTTAACTTTAACGCAATTGATCAAGACATGGACATGTGCAGATTGCATTTCTTTTTGGGTCAACCAATGTACACCCTTCTTTCCAGAGGGACGACCTGGACGCCCGAAGACTGATAAGGTGAATTGACTTCTCTCGTTGATATTTATAGGATTCCGTATGATTCTTGGAGTTAACATCAAGTGATTGAAATAATGACTCCAAAATGTGATGTTTCCCGATGCAAGTAATATGCACATATAGATCCTTCAACTCTAGCTTTATTTTTCACTGATCGCTTTGAATCACCCATGAACCTTTAAAACGGATACATCCACCTATATTGAACAGGTCTACCAAGATAAGCTTCATATGCAAGATGTACAGATAAATGTTCCAGGGAGTCAAAAAAACTAGGTGGAAATACTTGTTCCAACTTACAGAGAATGAGTGGAATGTT